GCGGGCCCGGGGCGGGGGGGGGGGTGGGGGGGAGACGCGCCTGCGGTTCCCCGCCGCTGCGCAGCCTCGCGGCTACACGGCCGACTGCTACTCCTCACCTCACCTCCACAGTCTGTACCGACAGACGGAAAACTGTCTGAGCCCGGACTTTGTCAACGGGGAGAGGAGGGAACACTTCAACAGAGACTGTGAAGAGAGTCAGGGCTTTGTCTGCGCCCCTGGGGAGCAGGAAGGTCTGACCTTCAGGTCCCACTTCAGTGACAGGACTCCAACTCCAGCAGGGGGCAGCCAAGAGGCTGAGGATGAGCCCAGAGACTTCACAGTCTCCAAACCTCTCTCTCAGAGGGTCACCTCCTTCTCCAAGCCCTCCTTTTGTAACCTCCCCTATCCTGTCATCCAGCCCAAGGCCTGCAGAGTTCCTCCCATGACCACCCACTCCCCAAAACAGAGCTCCGCGGAGTCTCCCTCATCATTTCCCAGCCCGAACGCCTCAAGCGATCCATCGCTCATCGTTCCCGTCCGACCCAGCAAACGGAGCGTCGTCGAGCTGGACAACGAGGAAGTTCCAGAGCGAAAGGTCCGTGTGGTGACGCCCATCCATCCGGCCGGTTCCGTCCGACACACCGACCCCGAGGACCTGAAACCAGCGGAGCCCACCCATGCTGTTCACCTCCCCGACGGTCACTCTAGCGCCACCTTCACTCCGGCCCACCTCTACGGCGGCATGTACCCCCCGGGGAGCCTGGTGTCGGCAGGTGCCCAGGACGGGCTGCAGCAGCACCCAGGGCTGCAGTACTTAAAGAGTCAATCGGCCGTTTCTCCTCTGGTTCCTCCTCTGGCCTTCCACCCCATGTTCCTCCACAGGCAGCTGCTGGCCTCCAGCTCCAGTCCTCAGCACTTCTACAGGCACCCTGGGGGAGCGGCTCTGTATGGAGACCTGTTACATCATCTGTACCCTCTGTCCACGCTGCCCCCTCCTCAGCTGTCCTCTGTCCACCCCAGCACCAGACTGTGAGGGAACTGGAAACGGGGACCATTGGTCCATAGGTGGCGATGTAAGCCAGAATTTGTAAACACTGACCTGAGCATCGAAGCAGTGACACAAACACGTCAGTTGAAGACTGAAAAAAAAAAGAAAGAAAGAAATCAATTTTTATTTGTACATTCATTTGTTTCTCTACTTTGCACTGTTCCTTGTTTTTGTTATGACCACTCACTGTTTGTGTTGTCGTTGTCTCCTTATTTGCACAGTGCTCATGTGAACGCGACTCACACTTCAGTTTGTCCGTGTGAGTCACATGGTTGCTCTGGACCTGTGAAAAGTGAAGAGCAGCAGAGAACGTCTGTTTGTTTACTGAACTGTTGTGGCTGAAAACACTACGGCGACAGTCGTCCATCAACGCTGACACCGTCAGGTCCGGACCAGTCTGGACCTCGACCGGTGCTTCTCTCGTGTTCAGGTCCTTGGTGTTCTGTTCAGGCACATTTTTAAGACAGATTCACTAACCCTTCAACCAGAACCATCACCTTTGGCTCAGTGTTTTCTTCTCTTTTTTTTCTCCCTCTCTGTTGACAGTCGGTATGAAGTCCTCTACATGAACTATTTCACAGTGGAAACTATAGCCAGTAGGTGGCAGTATTGCAGCTCCATATTTAGATCTGCTGGTAAATACCAAAGAAGAGAGGCTGAGGGTGTTAGCATAGTTACCTTGGTGAAGACCCACCTTTTTAGCCAAACACTACATACAAGCACAGTACTAGCACACCGCTTAGGTGCTAGGTACAAGTGCACCGCTAACATGCTGCTAATACACTATGTACTAGGTCACCGCTATCATGCTGCTAAATAGTACTTAGTAGTGCAGCACTAACATGCTGCTAGTAGCCCGAGTGCTACGGCACCTCTGATAGGCCCCTTCTGCTGCAGTATATACCAGCAGGCGGCGCTGACATGCTAGATGCTAGCATTCTGATTACATGCAGCGTGCTAAATGGTTCTAGCGCTGCTCCTTTTCTTATTTTGGGTGAACAATCAGTGATCAGCCAAAGCCGGTGAACCAGGTGCTGACTGCTGGTCTGCTCCTGTAATCTTAATCTGGTTCAGATTGACCTCCAGATTAGTGACTAAAAACCCACACCAAAGTCATAGGAGGAAAGAATTGGTTAGTGTTGTACTTCTATTATTTTTCCTGACAATTTTTCAAGACACCTCAAACACGCCACCTAGTGTTGAGAAGTAGTAGTACTACACTTGAAAGTGCATTCCTAAAAAGTAAAAAATCAAGTCTAGAAACAGTTTCAGGAACTAAACGTTGTTTGGCTGCAGTCTGCTTTTTGGATCCCAACATTTGAGAACCACGGCTTGAACCAATATGCAGTGCAGTATTTACAGTATTTGCCGTGTATGACAGATGTACTGTACTTTCTTTTTGACTCACTCTGAAAGTGAGACAAGAAAATGAAAAAGTTACTTTTTAAAATTCAAACTATTTTCTTCCTATAATGCAAAGTGTGCAGCAGCAGGTGTGTGTGTGTGTGTCTGACCGTGTGTGTGTGTGTGTAGGACAGCATGATGCTGCAAATCCAGAGGAAATCACATCATTTCTTTTTTTCCTTCTTCTTCTTCATGACTTTCAAACCTCTCCTTAAAGCCACACTGTAAAAATGTTAGTAAAATCTCTGTGCCTTCCACAGTCCTGGGTTAGCGTTAGCGTTAGCACGACACGTAAGGTTAAGGTTTCGTTTCTGTAGCAGACTTTACTCACGCGCAGCAGTCACTCACACACCGCGACCAGAGCCCAGTCCTGGACACCTGGGGCTGTGGATAGTGGAGACTGAACGGTACCAGACTGTAACGGTACCAGACTGTAACGGTACCAGACTGTAACGCTCACACATTTACAGCCTGAGGTACGGCGACGACACCTGCTCTGCTTCATACAACCACTAGAACTGTAGTGAGGAACAGTGGGAACCACCTTTCTGCTGTAACGGTCCAGGTGTAAAGACTTCTGAAGAAGTACTGTACATTTGTGTGTGTGTGTGTGTCGGAGGAACCACCGCCGCCACCAGAGGGGGTGGATGGGTGACACCAACACCTTCTTATTCATGTGTAAATAAACACCACTGTAGATAGTACTGTGCGATTGTTATCATATGTACATAACAACAGTATAAAGGTTGTTGCACAATCAGACTGTGTGCTTGTTTCCTCTGCGCCTGTACGACTCAAACACTACGTAAAAGAACCTCTCCATGTCTTTATGCTTTTGAACTGTTGTTTCGTTTGTTTTCATCCAATGAAAGTGTTTTTTATACGACAAACATCTGTTTACCAATCACTCAGCTGGAACAAGAACAAGATACAGAGACCGACATTTTGTACATGACTTCCTGTATATTTAATTAAAATATTTTACTATCTAAACACCTGGCTTCCCTCACCTGTGTCTCATGAACAACAGCTGTGGAATTAACAGTCGTCAGCATGGGACTGAACAACCGGACAGAGACAACAGCCTGAATCAATCCACCAATCACAGCTCCAGAGTTTAGCTCCAGAGCCGGGGTGTCAAACATACGGCTCGCGGGCCAAAACTGGCCCGCTAGTTGGTTCGATCCGGCCCCTTGAAATGAATTTTGAATGCTAGTTGGTTCGATCCGGCCCACTTGAAATGAATTTTGAATGTGGAAAAAAAAAAAAAGTTTGTGATGTTTTGTCAAATTATATTTAATTAAATATGAATATTTATCTTATATACTTCTTATTTGCAGGAACACAAATGATGTTATGATTGCACTGGTGCGGCCCACAGACTGTCTGTGGCTCCTGAACCTAAGTGAGTTTGACACCCCGGCTCTAGAGGAAACCCAGAGTGATGAAGATGATCTTCATCTCTGCTCTTCTCAGGACCAGGGAACTCTCTGCAGCTAATATGTCGTTAGCTCTAGGTCATCAGTCAACACATGACCATTGGGTGCTTCACTAAGTATAGGATTGGTTAAAAACACAAGGACCTCTATTGTCCCAGTCACTCAGATGGATCGTTGTTAGCATCTCTTTGGCCGCCGTGTTAAATTACATTGCGAGAGCAGAGAAAACCAAGGTTGCGTCGTGTTTAAGACCTCTTGGAAACGAAGGAGTCACATTGGAGCTGGTGGTCACAGTTAAGTGGAACAAGTAAACAGTTCCAAAGGAACGAGTGGTGTACCAGTGGTCAGTGGATCCCGTCCAGTGTCAGTGGTTTCTGTCAAAGCTCCACAGGCAGAGCAGAGAAACTGGTCTTTCCATTACAGTCAAACGGACAGATTGATTCTGTTTGAAGCTGGGGGTCGACGGCTCTGACTCCTCAACCAAAGACTGTGACAGGGTCCAATCCCAACAGATCACATTTTGAGTCCAGTTCACTTTTCACAAGTCCAGTTGACAGTGATGTCCAGCGGTCAGGACCTGGTCAGAGAAGAAGGTCTGCTCTGAGGTTTGAGGCTCAGACCTACAGCAGAACAACGGTAATAAACAGGCCCATGACCCTGAAGTTGACTGGATTCAGAACCATGAACTGGACCAGGGTCAGTGCTTTTTAACTGATCATCTAATTCCTATTGATGTACGAGTTAAAGTTCTTGGTTGACGGTGACATCAGATCCTACTGATGTACGAGTTAAAGTTCATTGTTGACGGTTAGTGTTAGGGTTAGCATCGGTGCAGGTCAACAGTGATTTAGTGGTTTAGTCGGATGGCAGTAGGACGGACTGGGTCGACAGGGAAGTTCACAGAACTTTCAGGTTCATCCTGTCCCTGAAAGACTTCCTCAGTCTGCTCCTTGGTGCAGGAACAGGACCTGGAGCTGGACTTGGACCAGAACCTGCTCCTTTTGAAGCATGTTCAACACGGGGTTCCGTTGTTTGGATCTGTTGGTTCTGGAGCTCCAGCTGCTGCTGCTGTTGAGGAGGAGGAGGAGGAGGAGGAGGAGGAGGAGGACCTGCAGCCTGACCGTGGGGTTGCGTGTGCAGCACAGCCAGGGGGGCATTTCTTCGAGCCAGGGCTCCAGCCCCCGTGGTGCCGTTCCTCTGGAGCTGCTGGATGATGGCAGAAAACTTGGCATCCAGGGACGGACGGCCAGTTTTGGACCTGGAGGATGAACGGGAGGTAACCGTGCAGGAATTC